AGAGCTATAGTGGAAAAATTTGAGCCCATTCACCAGAAAGTGCTGTATTTAAAGAAGACGTGAAATACCTCTCTGAAATCATGCTCGAAGTGGCGGAGCTGTAGGCACTGTTCTAACTTTAGTTGATGCTTAGACCAAAACTGATCAAAGGCTTTTTCCGTCTCATCCAACTGAGCCAATAACCTGTTAAGAAATGAGAGAGAGAACAAAAACATCACTTGGCATTTATCTCCCAGGAGTGTATTTTTGTTTCAGTACCTATGCACATAGGGAGAAAGTCAGCCAGGCAGTCAGGGATTGCAGAGAGGATCACCAAAGCAGAACAGGCTCATGGAGAGGGCAGGGCGTAAGGACTCCACCCTCATGCCCTCCCCATGAGAGATGCAGATCTCTGTTTCAAGCCAGCTCTGCATAAGGAAATGTGGAATGGAGATTTGCACTGGGCCGGGGTGGGGGGTATAATCAGTCCAATTGCATGGATCCACCTGCCACAGATCAGCACAGTTCATCCACGCATTGCATGCAGTTTTCTGAGTGAATTCTCTCTCCCCAGCTTCATCACTGCTAATTTACTCTGTCCGTGTGTAGCATGGGTGAATCCCATTCATTGCTTTAAGGGATCTTTCAAGCAGGAATCTATTGCTGATTATTCCAGACTGGACCAGTGATCCAGCAAGTGCAGTATCCCGTCCCTGGCAGCAACCTAATCATAAGAAAAGGAAGCAGCTTAAGAAAACCCAAGAGCAGGCGGTCAGCTGGGCACTCTTGTACATGGGGAGTAAGATGAAAAACTTCCTTCCTGACTCCTAGAACAACCAATGAATGATCTGATTGTCCAGTCAATTGGTAATGAATCTATACTGTTTGCCAACACATTTCACCCAGCTCTAGTTCAAGCAGTGCAGCTCCAGGCCAGGTGAGGCATGCTGAAATATAGGCATGGTGTTTGCTGTTTCCTTTCCAGTGCAGCAGGGAGGAGCAAGGGGCTGAGCAATGGCTGTGATTTCTGTGGTGGTAACCAGAGGTCCCTGAGGGAAGCGGAGCATCTTCCTCTTTACTGCAGCTGTGGATGAAGCCCAGGGTAAATGTACTTGTGTTTAAGAGGCTCTCTTCCATCCAAGGTTCCCTAAGTGTTTCTGTAGAAAAATGCACATACTTCCTCTTGACACACATACATAGCATACTCCCTTTTCCCACCACAGCCAGGCACGTGAGGCCAATGTCTGTGCTGAGAGGGGAATACGGCAGCACGTTAAATGTGGTGCCCTGTAGTGAGTGACCTAACGAAACAGGCCTAAGCCTCGTTTAAACGGGTCCTGCTGGTTTCACCCATTCAGAGCCCCTACCTTGTCTTTCCTTCCTCAAAACATATGGCATTGTGTCCAGTAAACCAACTGTGAACTAAGAGATGTTAAAGAGTTATTCCAATCAGGACATAAATCAGGGAATAAGTCAGCAACCTAGATAATGTCATCAAGGTTCACAAACCTTTCCACGGTTGCTACATTTTCCAGCTCGTCCGGGCTGAGTTTGCTAGTGGCACTTCGTGTGACTGGCTCCCTAATGCACGTCAGCAGCGTGGCCCCCTGCTTCACAGCAAGTTTCAGCTCATCCTGGAGAGAACAAAAAAAAAAAATCAGTCCAAATAAGGTTGTTTCAAATCTGGTGGTTAATAGTTATTTCTAACCGTTAAGTGGGTCATAGTGCCAACTCCAGTGGAGGATTCTCTTTGGAGAATGAAACACCGGAAGGAAGGAAGGAAGGAAGGAAGTAGGCTTGCTGAGTGATGATAATGATGTGGTATTCCCTGAAAAGTAGAAGAACGTTTGAATTTTCTGGGTTTCTGATGGGAGAACATTTTTAGACACACACAAAACTTGCAGTTTAGCATTTAAAGGGCTGAAACATTAGCCTTGAGATACCACAGCACACGAGGGAACTTTGTTGAACGATGTTAGCACAGTCACAGCACACCATTTACAATGCTGTCCAAGGGGTGGGGGGGTAGATGAAATGGGGGTCCTAAATTGAAGCAGTGGGTTTTTAAAAACACTGCTTCAACTTAGGGCCAATTAAAACCCCGTGTTGAGCACACACCCGACTTACCTGCCTCTCCGGTGGTGGGGAGGGGAGGATGAGCTGCCAGCAGGTAGAGCAGCCCCTGGGCTGCGGGGGCTGGTGCTTCCCTCCGCAGTAGCGGTGGTCTCCCCCACGTGGCACCCACCTGCAGGCACCCGGCTCAGGTGGTCCCGGGGGGCACCACAGCTACAGAGGGAAGCACTGGGCCCCCGCGCAGCTCAGGCAGGCAGGAAGGCTCCAGGGGGGGAAAAAAAAAAAGATCAGGCTTGCTGCTTTTCTTGGGCAAAGCCTGCCTTCCCGGGCTGCTGCCAGGCTGCCTGCAGAGCTGTGGAGCTGCACGGAGCCTGGTGCTTTGCTCGCAGCTGTAGGGCAGCAAACTAAAACTCCTGGAAGGAGTTGCGCCAAGTCATTTAAGGCGCATTACGCCGCTGAATTTCCTGCAGTGGCTGGAATTAATGCGCAATACGCCGCCAAGGCATGCAAACATTAAAGCGGTGCAAAAGCATTTAGCCCGCTTTAAAGTGTCGTGCACGCATGCCCCTCGTTTGTCTACACACAGCCCAAAAAGGTCGCAAGGTCTCAGTCCCCACCATGAAGTAAGACCAGGGAAGATAGAAAGGATGGTCCAGTGGTTAGGGCGCAAGCCTAAAAGTTCTGACCACGCTTTAATTCCCAGCTCCATCACAGACTTCTTGTGTAACCTTTGGCAAGTCACTTAACCACTGTGCCTCAGTTTCCTCATCTTTAAAATGGGAACGAAGAGCCCTGCTCTTCCCCAGGCTGTGTTGTCAGGCTCAGTACTTTAAAGACTGAGCGCTCGGGTGCTTCAGAAATGGGACCAGATGCTTACCTACGACAGGCAGCATTTAGAGACACGAGGTGGGCATTTGCTTTGACAGACATATTACGTTTAAAGATATCCCTGGCTGCCTTGTGCAAGTTGTAGCTCAGGCTGGGTTTTGAGGACAGCACAATCACTTTGTGTGGGTGGCACTTAACAAACCATGTCTCTCTAGGTACCATATCCAAACTGGGCATCGGTGACCATGTAACTAGAGCATAAAATTGCTCTAAAATGGGTTTGGAAGTCGTGCAAGGAACTCCATGACCTAGGTCTCGTTATTTTCCCATAAGCTCTCATCTTCCCATGCATCTTTCTCCCCCTCCCACTGAGCCGAGCTGCACAAAGGAGCCACATCTTCACATCACACCTTTGCCATCCAAGCAAACGGAAGAGAAGGGAGTAGAGGCAAGAGCGACTTGAGAACACTAGCGGGAAGGCATCTGGGACAGGGTGGAAAGTCTGTCACTGTTTTTGTGAGTTAATAAAGAATCTGCCTTCATTTTACTGCTTGCTCCCTTTAGACAAAGTCTCTACCCCTTTACTAGCCTCTTCCACTTCTGTTTATCGGTGTTTAGTGGATGCAGCTACCTCCGCTTTCTGCAACAAAGCTCCCCAGACACAGAGCAAGAGATACAGCCAATCTGGCATGTTCCTTCTTTAAATGTCCTCAACAGAGGGACTTGTTTCCAAGCCCATTAAGGACAACGGGAAGATTTCATCAGGCTGTGAATCAGCCTCTGTGCTGACTTCATGTCAAACGGCCAAATTTCCACGGCTGCCAAGAAAATGCAGCCCGATGCAGCAGAGAGCATTAACTGCTGCTACTGAAGTGGCTATTGAGCATCCTTTCAGCACACAGTTACCTCTGCCAGAAGGACCTCAATAGCACACATTTACTACCAAAGGGCCTGCTCCTGACCCCACAGTAATCTGTAACAAAGCTGCCATTGACTTCAGTAGAGCGGTAAGGCCCTAAACCTGGTGGTGTTCCAAAGAAAGGACAGTGAAAATCAGCATGAAAAAGCATCCCGGACTCCTAACTGAAGAGCTTCCCATGAATAATTTCTGACCATGCGGTGCTCTGACAAGCTCAAGTGCGGTCTTATCCGAATGCTGTTATTAGTCCTCAGATAATCACAGAGGAAAACGTAAAGGAGCGAATGCGATGGCAGGAGATAGATTAGTCCTGAACTGCTGACTGGTAGGGGTCCTAGTGACAAAGGATCCTGTTGATCTTGTTCTAACAACAACACCGCTTTGAAGATCAGCCGAACCCACTAAGGACACACGGGAGATCCTATCAGAACCGCTGCAAGGCATGGCACCACCAGTCCATCTGCCAGGACTTTTGGAGGCCTCCACTGTACCAGCGCAAGAGCTGAAAACCCACCCAACACCCAACTTCCAAACAGGGTGAGAGAACAAAACCGCTAGCTTCCAGGGAGAAAGGGCCTCTCCTCGAATGTCCAGGAGCCTGGCCACACACGTGACGGGGAGGACACGGATTTCGGTTTCCTGAATCCCCTGTGACGTCATAATTTGCCACAAGAACACGCGTTTAGTCAGCATCTCGTCTCCCCAAAATGTCTGTATCTCAAGTACGTGCAGAACTTTGCACCTCGGCCCCCCGCACGTTTCATCACGTTAAGCCAGTCTACCGACTGCAGCGCCCTTTGGAGAGGTGACTACGGATCTCCAAGCAAGCACTTTGTACGGGGGGCGCGTGAGCATATCGAAACAGTTGGTTTGCTGAGTTTGGGATACTGTGTTCAAAACAAAGATAAGGGGGTTGGGTCAAAACCGGTTTAGGAAAAGCGCAGAAACTTCCACTGATCTTTTTGCTGAAATGCGTGGATATAAATGGAGAGCTTTGAGCATTCGTTTTGGGGAAAACCTCTGCTCACCAAAGAGGTACCATGTCACCTTCATTTCAGGGTTTCCTTTGTTGTTCTTCTTAATTAGAGCATAGTTTCATAGTTTCTAGGGTCGGAAGGGACCTGAACAGATCATCAAGTCTGCCCCCCTGCCCTGGGCAGGCACGAGTGCTGGGATCATAACGCCCCAACCAGATATCTATCCAACCTCCTCTTGAAGACCCCCAGGGTAGGGGAGAGCACCACCTCCCTTGGGAGCCCGTTCCAGAGCCTGGCAGCCCTAACCGTGTCCTGCTTTATCCAGAAAGGCTCAAAGCCCCGAAAAATCCCTGACAAACCACAACAGCAGGTTCCCCTCAACAGAGATGTGGGGCGGAAAACTTTCCCAAATGGAAAACTTTCCAGTGCTTTATTTTTCCGTGGGAAATTTTCCATTTCTACAAATTGTTTCATAAAATTCATTAGTAACGATGAATGGATGCCAGTGCAATATTAGGCAAGCTTGGCAGTTTCAAAGTTGTAATGAATGTTTTTCAGGTGATTATCTCTAGGAAGTGTGGAGAGTTTCTATATGCTAATGCGCTCCCCCATACAAAGTGACATGTCTAGAGAGCACGCATGTTTTATTGATCTGCAAACAGGAGGACAAATACACACACACAATCATCCGAACCAAAAATCAAGTTATGACTTCACCTAATTGGCTGTGCAGGTCAAATCAAAACCAAAGTACGGCATATCATGCACAGCTCTTTGGGTGTGCTAAAATTAGTGTCTCAACAGTTTTTAAGGCCTTTGGGGTTTCTTTCTTAAATTTAAACAAACGGTGTAAGGGAAGTACATGCTATTGTGTCTTAACATTTTTACAAGTATTCCAATACAAATAATTTCTATCCACATAAAGCTTTGAATATAACCTTTAAACCACATTAAGTGTGTTGTATTTAATTTTTTTCCTAATCAAATACTTCAGTTCAAATACTTGTGGCTATTGGGACATAACATTAACATGGGGTACTTTTTAGTTTTGTTTAATAAATACAAATCAACTCAATGTGCTAAATCAGATCACGCTCTATTTAGGGCATTGGAAAATTTTCTGGAAAATTCAAAAATTTCCAGGAAACCCACATCTCTGCCCCTCAATAAATAAATAGCTTGAAGTTGGCCGTCTGATATCCACACTACTTTTAAACCTTGACTGACCACAACAGCAATAACTCAAACTGCTGTACTTGAATTATTTTAACCTTGGTGCTGTGCTATCCGTAAAGGAGTCTGTACACTTACCGATGCCTCTCATAAATCCTCTGGGCTCACTTACAGCTTAAAGATACTTTTAGCAGACAATGCCTCAGAGGACCTCACTTCATGGGGCTGGGTCCTTTATACTTATAGAAGCAATAAAATGCAACTACGTCTGGGAGAGGAGGAAGGCAACTGATGTATCACAGTGAGAGGGAGAGAGAAAAGGCATATTTTGTGTCTGGCACTGCCTGGAGAAAACCCCTGTTCTTAAGAAAACTGCCATGTGTCCACACATGGCAATGAAGGCCTTGTTTTTCAAGTTTTCACCTAGAAAGATCATGCACACATAAGGTAAACCGCACCATGCATCCACCTGAAAGGTAGGAGGGCTGGACTGGTGCCATGGTTCAAAGAGTCTTGTCTGTATTAGCCCTTTTTGGGGAACTCTCCTACAGTTGTCTGGCACTGGCATAGTACCCCTGGTGTTATAATGGTGGGAGCACTAATATGGAGATTCATTAGTGATTTCACCACCCAGGCATCTGTTCTGAGCTGTCAGACTATCTGAAAGAGGGTAGTGCGGTTAGTCTGGGAGCGTGACTACTTTCCAATTAAGTGTTAGACTGCTGAGCTGCAATGTGTTAAATTAAGATTGTTAATGCTAGAGCTGAAAGACAGAAGGCAAAGCCCGCTTTCCGAGTCAGTGTATGGCATGCAGTAAAAAGCACGAGGTACAAATCAGACTCTTCCACCAAACCAATGTCAGCGATGCCAACTCTGCCAATGCCAAGGGTCGGCCTGACAACCCTAAACAAGTCTGTATGCTGGTTTTGTCTGTCCACTGGCCAGTGTCCAGCATTCATCCAACACCAGCTTCTGTGGTTTCCTAAGGGGCTGCTATTTATTGTGTGGTTGCCGGAAAAGGAGAAAGGCACTTTATTTCAGGCTGGAGAAAGCTGATGCTGAGTCAAATCAGAGAGCAAACCCCTGTAGTTCAAAACACACAGGACAGGAAGGGACCTTATGAATCACTGAACCCAGCCCATGGCAATCACAGGCAAGCACAGCACAGCATCCCCGTCAGAAAATTAGCACGCTTCATTTTAGAGCGAGGTTGGTTTCTGGCCCCTCCATCCTCCTCCGGAGCTCCTGTGGTTATTCAAGGTTCAAAAGTACTGAGACCGTCAGACAGCCAGCTTCAAACTATTCATTCAGATCCTCGCTGCTCCGACGGTTGGAAACCGACTTCTAATTTCCAGCCTCGGTTATTCAGGACCAATTTATACTCGTTCTTCCTGGTACCAAGATTGCCTTTTCTCTTAAAAACCTCCTCTCCTCCTCTGGCGTTGACTCAGTGATGTATTTATACACAGCCACCCCTCCCTTACCCTTTGCTTTGGTTGAACAAGCCTTCTCTCATGATGACAGGGTCTCCAGGCCTGTGATAATCCTAACAGGGGGAGAGGATGAACTACTCCGTTTCCCTGATGCTCCAAGTATTGATTTCTCTACCAGTCTGAGCTTATCTTTGTTGCAGACCAATATTCCAGCTGGGGTGTCACCAGCGTCTTATACCATGGCTTTAATCCCTCGCTGTCTCTACTGGAGACACCTTGCCTTATACATCCTCAGACTGCATTTGCCCGCTTTGCCTGGCTGCTTGGCACGGACAGCTCAGATCCATTCACGCACCCAGGTCCTTCTCCTCCTCAGCTATTTCCCAACCAATCAACTCCTGACTTACAGCACAAGTATTTATTAAATGGTAAAACCCAACGCCACGCTGGCAGGGCTGCTCACCTTCAGCTTGTCGTGCTGGTCTGTGTGGGAGGACAGGAGCTCCTCGGTGCACTGCACGTCGTTGGGAAGTTCAGTCTCGGCCAGGTCCGTTCCAAAAGTCTGCAGCATCTGTGCCGTGGTTTTCACGGTCATTGCAAAGTTCTCGATAGCCTGGAAAAGCAGTAGGTTTATATGCAGTCATGGACCGGTCATACTGTAAGGTCCGTGCTACTCACTAGCACTGCTTTGTGCTCACACAGTGACGTGTTTTCTTGCGCTAAACCTAACGCACTGGTAATATGCCACGTTGGGTGGATGGGTCCACTAGAAGATGACAGGTTATTACTGCCACCAGAGCTCTGAGCCACAGCGCTCCAGCAGATCGTTAGGCTGGCTAACATTACCACTTCCTGTACCCAGAACTGATCAACTTGCCCAAAGCCACAGAGAGCAGCAGCAGGAGAGCCAAGAGATTTGGCTCCTTATCCCATGTGCTTCTGCCTAAAGCACTCTGAATTACCAACAACTCTTCAGTAAGGCCAAAGTACTTTGGGCAAGGCCTCCCTGAACAGGTTTATCATCACTGTCTAATCAGTGAGGATCTGTCTACATTGCACTTGAGTCCAGGTGCACAAATCCTTAATGCCCATCTGTGCTTGAATTGGTATTCCATAGTTGTCCCCTTCCAAGCCCTGTGTCCATAGTGCTATAGAAAGCTTAACACAAAAAAAGGGAGTTAAAAATGCACGTGCTTTTGAAGTTAATATTGAATCTTGCTGCCTCTCTGTCCCCTGAATGCTCCAACACAACTACTTTTCACACCCAAACACATACTGACGACTTCTGTTAAGTTGGAAGTGAGAGAAATGAAGGCTGTGGAAAGCAGCATGTGGACACTTCAAACCCTGTGATTCAAATATTAGTTTGTCAGGGCAAAATATCAAGAACAAATTCCTCAGCTGTGACATTCTCTCTTGTGTCCTGTAGCTGCGTGGGACTGTTTCCTTGCGTTTCAGGAACACTGCCCCAGTTTATTGTCTTCACTAAAACCTGCCGATGACCTCCACTTTGCATCAATGCTCCCAACTGTTTACATTCATTCGCCCACAGTTTGATCCTGTTCACGCTAGACTTGGACTGAGTCTAGTTACAACTGTGTTCGTGACGTTGTCAAGCCCGGCTGAACAATGAATAACTTGTTACTGCTGGGCTGACTGCCATGCAGATTTCCTGCCCCGGAGAACGCTGGAATTCGTTATCATCAACCTCGCTTGCTGGAACGGGGCTTAGAGATGAGCAAATTATGGGAGACAGTGTTTAACAAGAAGCAGAGAGAAATTAAAATGAATGAACCTCCCACTAAAAGGTGTACACAGTATTTCCCCTGTTCGGGCTGTGTCTATACTGTGATCAGGAAGTGGGAGTGCAGCATGTACAGATGTACCCCAGCTAGCTTGAACCTAGCCAGCTCAGGTGCTGGTGCAGTTTTAGCCTTGGGCTAGGGACAGAAATTACACATAAACCAGAATAAGCGATCAGAGACCGGTTCAAATCTGTAACACAGCAGGGCTAGGGGCAGAAGTTACAACAGACTAGTTTAAGTGATCAGAAACTGGTTTAAACCTAGATCAGTGCGCAGAAACCGGTTTCAAAATGGCCAAAACTGGTTTGAGGTAAACCTGGTTGAATGTAGTATCAGACTGAACTGACTCAGCTCAAACCAGTTTATTCAACTTCTGCCCTAGGCCTTGGTGGTTGGGGCTTCAACACAGGCTGCACAAGCCTGCTTATGATCCCGCATGTGTACTCAGCAGCTGCAGTCTTGTGTAGTCCATGTACTCAGAGCAATCAGGTCCGTCGGCATGACACGGGCCCAGAGTCTCATCTTCTCCCTTTCTCTATAACAAGACGAACTAGCATCCCAAATCTCAGTGCTCCTGAACATGGGGACAAGGATGTACCGCTGCTCATATTGTTTAAATATTAGCCACTGAACCAGATGAGTCAGTTCAGAAAGCGGATCAGTCCCTTCAGTGCTACGAGACCACGAGCCTTCCAGCTCCCACAGTAAGTGAGATGTCCCTGGGCTACGGAGAAGCAAGACCTAGTTTAGCGTGCACATTTATGGAGCAAAGAAATGGAAACAAAAGAAAACTTGATGCCCCAAGTGTTTTTGGCGCCTTATTAGACCATTCACAGTCCTTACCGAGAGGCTCTGGGTTCTGATGCAGGAAGTCACTTCGCCACATGTTTCCCTTTAATATTGTGTTGAAGTCCAGCTGATTCCAGCAAATTGCTTGAGATTGAGACTGTGCTTAAGCACATGGGCTTGTTTATTGAGCTGAGGCCTAGATAAGCACTGTGTGAACAGCCCTGCCAAGGTCTTGGGAGGCTCTAATCCTCCCTTCATTGTGAAGTGGATTAACTTGGATAAAGTCCCCTCAAGCTTCAACAGAAGTCACAGCCTTTGCTCTCACTGGAGAATTATGGATTTCTCTGAATTATCTCATTTAGGTTGAAACCATGTCCTGAAGACAGTCGGCGGCTGTACTCACAGTTCGATGGTGTATCCATTGGCTGTGGCCGTACTCCAGAGTCCCCCCAAGTTCCCGGGTGAGCTGACTTTTGTCAATATAGCCATGTAGATCAGAAACAGAATTTAACATGATGATCTGCAATGAGGAATCAAAAGAGCACGTTAATGGAGAGATATAATGCTGCCCTTCGGAGTCATCTTTCTTATTCAGTTTAAATGGGGAGGGCTGAACTTTTCCCTGACTAGTTCTCTGTCAAGGCTGAGGGTTAATAAATTGTCATTATCTACAATATTTATTCGACCCGTCAGCAGAACTCACGGTGATATAGATAGCTACTTTAATAGACCATCTATTGTAGATAATGTAGGGAAGCCACAGGCAGAGCCCGTGCTGGTTTCTCCACCTCTGAGCTACATGCCACCCTCCCCTGTCCTCTCGCAGCCCCAGGGGGGGATTAGAGGAGCTCTTGCCCATGCCCCTGCTCACCAGGCACGTCACAGTTGTGCAGGTCTGAGAGGGCATTAAGCCTTACCCTGCGGCACTGCTCTACAGGTTACTTTTAAAACATTTTAAATATGTGGCATGTTATATGCTATCATCAAGTTAGAACAGTTTCAGAGCAGGTGCAGGGTAAGGCTTAATGCCCTGTCAGACCTGCACAACTGTCACGTGCCTGGTGAGCAGGGGCATGGGTCCTCTAATCCCCCCCTGGGGGTGCAAGAGGACAGGGGAGGGTGGCATAGATTCATAGATGTTAGGGTCGGAAGGGACCTCAATAGATCATCGAGTCCGACCCCCATGTAGCTCAGAGGTGGAGAAACCAGCACGGGCTCTGCCTGTGGCTTCCCTCCCTGCACTGCCAGCCAGAGCAGGGGGTGGGAGGAGAGAAATCTTGAAAAACTGTTTGAATTGAATTGGCTTCCCAGGCCCCACCTGCCCTGGGAAGGAGGGAGCTGGTGACCGGAGCTCAGGCAGCTGCCTGCAAAGAGCCCTGCCAAGCTGGACCTCAGGACCCTGCCCCATCCCAGGCCCCCTCCCAAAGCTCAGGGCTGCCTGTACCTTTAATCCCAGCACAAGGCAAGGGAAAACTTCAATTAAGCTTGCTTTACCTGAGGTTAACTGAACTTTTCTTGTAGCCCCCTGCCCCTTTTCTCCTGTTCTCCCTTGGCCAGGAAGATAATGGGGTATGGGAGGCTCAGCTTTCTTTTAAGCCCCATCAAGTCCAGTCCCAGGTGAGGGGGCTACGGGAGGATAACCGCTGGGAGACATGCTTCCCCACACCGTAGATAACTCCCAGCAGCCAGGAGTGAAGCTGCCAGGCGGCCTTGCCAGAGCATGGAGCCTGCAGGCGGTGAGCCCCTGGAGCCAGGGACAGCATGCCAGGGAGAGTATCAATGGAAAGTACCCATACACGAGCGTGGACACTATTCCAGCACATTGTAATTACTCAATTAATCGAGTTTGCTGGAGCACGGTAATTACTGTGATCCAGCCAGCCTCTGCGTCTCATGCATCTGCATCCCCATGCTTCAAAATGTCAGCGGGGCAACTTTATCAAAAGCTTGTTGAATGAGCTTTAGATAAAGTGCCCTGCCGTCATTGTGAAGCGTGGAGATGCTGATACGTGAGACGCTCTGGGCGTTTTAATTAGAGTGGAATTAAAGTGCCCCCCATCACTCCCAGAGCACATGTACAGACACCCATCATGTCCCGTTATAAATCCATGGTGCATCCACACCTTGAATACTGTGCCCAATTCTGGTCCCCACACCTCAAAAAGGATGGAGAAAAACTGGAGAAGGTCCAGAGAAGGGGCAACAAGGATGATGAGTGGCCTGGAGGGGCCTCATTATAGGGAGAAGCTAACGAGGCCAGACCCGTTCAGTTTAGAAAAGAGGTGCTTGAGGACATGAGAAAGCTTTACCAAATACTAAATGATGAAGAGAAAGTCAATAGGGATTTATTATTTACTCTCTCTCAGTACAAGAACTAGGGGTCACAAAATGAAACTAGTAGATAATAACATATTGACTTGATTTTAAGACATGGGTTTTTTTCCCCATTTAACATGGGGCAGGGGGAGGCCCTCAACTTAGAATTGCATATGAGGGCGGTGGGGGCAGCAGGCAGCTGCCATGGCTCAGGCTCCAGTCCCTGCCCAGGGTCCAGCGATGGCCGCAGTGCTGCCTGCCCCTGGGCCCTGCCCACCACCACCTCTGCGCTCCATCATCTCCCCCTGCAGCCCGGTCCTCCCATGGGTGAAGGCAGGGGGCAGACGTAGTAGGGGGAGTGGTGGGGGACAGGGGCAAGCTGCTGACCTCCCCACACCACCTGCCCCCCCTGCAGCAGTAGGGGGAATGAATTAAAGACAACCCCCTGATAATTAAGTTCTATACATGGAAGAAGTCCGGGTGAGGGTGATCCCCTGCCCTCCATTGATGCTGACTTCATGAAGGAACATCTTGAGAAGCTGGATACCTTCAAGTCAGCCGGCCCTGACAATCTTCACCCCAGGGTACTCAAGGAGCTGGCGAGCATCATAGCCCAGCCTCTAGCACGGATCTTTGAAAACTCTTGGCGCTCTGGTGTAGTGCCCGAAGACTGGAAGAAGGCCAATGTGGTGCCTATCTTCAAGAAAGGGAGGAAAGTGGATCCGGCTAACTATAGGCCCATCAGCCTGACTTCTATCCCGGGGAAGATCTTAGAAAAGTTTATTAAAGAGGCCATCCTTAATGGACTGGCCGACGACAACATCTTAAGGGATAGCCAGCACGGGTTTGTTGTGGGTAGGTCTTGCTTGACCAATCTCATTTCCTTCTACGACCAGGTGACCTGTCACCTGGACAAGGGAGAAGAGATTGATGTCATATATCTTGACTTCAAAAAAGCCTTTGACCTGGTTTCCCATAATCACCTCTTAGAGAAACTGGCCATAGATGCTTCTCAAGCAAATCCCGGGACATCATTCTCCCCTTGTACTCGGCCTTAGTGAGGCCGCAGCTGGAGTACTGTGTCCAGTTTTGGGCTCCACAATTCAAAAAGGATGTGGAGAAGCTTGAGAGAGTCCAGAGAAGAGCCACGCGCATGATCAGAGGTCAGGGAAGCAGACCCTACGATGACAGGCCGAGAGCCCTGGGGCTCTTTAGCCTGGAAAAGCGCAGGCTCAGGGGTGATCTGATGGCCACCTACAAGTTTATCAAGGGTGACCACCAGCATCTGGGGGAACGTTTGTTCACCAGAGCGCCCCAAGGGATGACGAGGTCGAATGGTCACAAACTACTTCAAGATCATTTCAGGCTGGACATAAGGAAGAACTTCTTTACTGTCCGAGCCCCCAAGGTCTGGAACAGCCTGCCACCGGAGGTGGTTCAAGCGCCTTCATTGAACACCTTCAAGATGAAACTGGATGCTTATCTTGCTGGGATCCTATGACCCCAGCTGACTTCCTGCCCTTTGGGCGGGGGGCTGGACTCGATGATCTTCCGAGGTCCCTTCCAGCCCTGATGTCTATGAAATCTATGAAAGATTATAACACATTTATACATTTTCCACATATAGAATCTAATTATTGGGTGGGGGTCATCTTACATTCAGGGTCATCTTAGAGTCGAGTAAATACAGTAAGTTTAAAACAAAAGGAAGTAAATTTCTTCACATAGTGGGCACATCTACATGAGATGCTACATGATGCCACCCGTCTACGGGAACTGTGATGCCAACACTACTGCACGGTAGTGTGGGGAAAAACCTGTGCACCACCAGAACTGTGCAGTAACGCTGGTTACTGCACACTAACAACGCACGTGTAGGTGCGCCCACTATGTAGTTAAAGTGTGGGACTGGTTGCCACCCAATGTTGTGGAAGCTGACAGTTTAGCCAGATTCAACAAGGGACTGGACACTTGCTTAGAGGAAAGGGGCATCAGTAGCTACTGAGCATGGGAGATAGGGGCACACCCTCTGAATCACATCTTCCTAGACCTTAAATGCTGGAGGCTGCAAGTGAGAGGGGAGCAGGGGAAAAAACCCTCATCAGTCCCAGTTCAGTTTCCCTTTCAGCATCCGCTCTCTGCCCGTGTGACACGGGAGACTGGTCAAGATGGACCAAGATGGACCTATGGTCTGACTCAGTAAATAGCAGCTCCTATGTTCTTATGCTTCTCCTGGCTCCAGGGTCTTGCTGCAGTTAAGCATTAGCAGCCCTGCAGGGTGGGCAGAGGCAGGGGACCGACCACTAGAGGTTGGGCTGGTGGAAAGGGCTAGAGCGGCTGGGAGCTGTGCATCCTGGGATTCTGGAGGTGGTCACTTTCTCTCCAGGGAGCTGACTAGCAATGCCCTGGAATAACCTGGACAAAATGGATCAATGATAAACCTCACCATGAGTGAGAACTCTAAAATGTTTAGAGGACACTTAAGACGGGTGAACACCCTTCAATGGGTACATGCTCCTGTTTTCAGTACCTTTATGATGGTTTAAAGGCAATCTGCAACATCACCCTAACCCCACAAGAACAACATTCCCACCACTAGCATAACTGATTGAAATACAGGCAGGTTTCTATTAAGCTTCAAATTACTTTTACTCACTCTCTGCTACGGTGGTGCCACGCTTGATGCAAGTAACACACATGTCAAATGCGGAGTTTTTGTGACCATCTCTGCTAGAACGAACAGTGACTTGAGCAGCAGTAGTAGCAGCGACATGATGGTGTTGGGTGCACCCGACTAGGGATCCGAAACACTTAGGTTTGGGCAAACATAGTAGGAGGTTCTCCTTCAGGCAGGAACTCAACCTCCTGTTGAGGGTAAGTCTGGCTGTGTTTGCCTGCTCCTACTATGGTAAGTTAAGTGGATTCTTGAAATCCCTGGCACCAGTTCTTACTCCTTCTGAACATACAGGCATGAGAGTGGCTTTTCGTGGTTGAAACGGGACGTAGGGTTTAAGCTGTAGGAGGAACCCTGAGAAGATCCAGGCCTTGGGAGTAGAGGAACCAAATGCTCTTTAATGTGTTTTTGGAGCACACTGGGAAAGGCACACCCTTTGCATTCTGCAGCCAGTAAAACAGCCTCCTGACAGCCCGGAAACTCATGAAAACAGCAAATGAAGGACAATTATTCAAGGAGCAGCTGGGGAT